CACACACACACACACACACACACACACACACACACACACACACACACGTCCCCTGCCCTTTGCATGTCATACTCTATCCTGCCGTTCACACATTTCTTTCCTGCCCTTTGCCCCCACCTCCCCCACCTCCACTGCCCCGTACTCCTATAGAACTCCGCCTTCTATCCCTTTCCCGCCACCTTCCCCTCCACTCCCTTTGTGCTAAGTAACAAATACATACGAATGAGCATTGTTAAGAGAACAGACGATATGAAGATCAGAAATGAAATGAACGGAAGTATGAAGATGAAGGACGGACGCAAAGACTGTATAAGCTGAAGATCTGAAGTGAAATGAACAGGAGTATGGTGGTCTGAAGAGAAATGCACAGGAGCATACCCCTTCCCTTTTACTCTGCCTCCTGAAATAACGTGCAAGCGGGCTGTGAATGCACACGTGGATGTGGGAAGCCGCCGCTCAACCACAATCAACGTGGGCAGCCTTGCGCGTAAGAGGCACAGTAAAAGGGGAGTTGCAAGAACAATGGAAGGGGTACCCCAAGGACAACCAAAAAACTGTCTAATTATTAAAATTGCTTTAATATATGTTGGACTGCGACTGTCTCATATCAAATGCTCTTGTTGTCTGCAATACGACAAAGACTGCTTTGAGTCTGAATCAATTCATCTTGGTGGAATTGGGGCTGTTGTGGGGAAAATCTATAACACACACACACACACACACACACACACACACACACACACACACACAGAGGGGCACAGAGGGTGGCACAGGGGGAGAGAGAGAGAGAGAGAGGGAGAGAGAGAGTGTGTGCTGCTCTGGGCCAAAAGAGACTATAGCTCGCAATGGCCTATTTCCTATGCCCTTTTTTTGTGATCTTATATTTGCGATGATCTACTACCTATGCTCTCATTTGTGAGCTTGTACAGGGGTTGACATTGTGCTGTTATCTCGCTCTCTTGTTATACAAGTAAAATTAGTTAAGGGGATTTTGTGCTTCATGTTTTCATGAACGAATCTGCAGTGATGACACGCAAAAAAGACTATAGCTTGCAATTCATGGGAAGGCAACTGCAACTCCAAGCAACCCCACAAAATTGTATGTCTGACATGGATTCTGTTATTCGTATGTATGTCCTACATCGTCCATGTCACTTCAAATGCCATAGCCTTTGTAGACCATCAATGGGCTCTGTCGGCTAATCATAGAACAACGCACCCAAAAAAACAAAAACAAAAAAACATCGTATGTTTCTTCTTTTTTGTTTTTTTGTGCAAGGAAAGCCCTTTTCCAAGCCAGACTGGTCAGGATGTATTAAAAGGTTCATTAGCGGCAGCAGTCTTCTGGTAAATGTCTTGCCTACCAGTTTGTAGGGGACTGGGAAGAGGGTAATGGGCCTGTAGTTTTTAACCTCCTCCTTATCACCTTTTTATAGAGGGTAGATAGGAACCGAACGTCGTAAGTGACCCCTTGTCCCATCGTACCCCCGAAAGAGCCTTCTCTTTGCACCGCTCCAATGTATTCCAGCAGGCCGTTGGAGAGAAGGTCCCAAATTGCACCCAGAACTCCTTGGGGAAGGAGTCCGCTCCAAGCATTTTTTCATCGTCTATGTCCTGCAGGACCTCCCAGACCTCCTCTTGGGTTATGGGTTTGTCCAGTCCGGCTCTTTGGGGAAGGGTGAGACGAGTCTGAGTCGCTTGCAGCAACTCTTCCCTCGCTTGGAGGACCTCGTTCGGGGTTTTGGTGGGTGTTTCTGATGTGAACAGCTTTTGATAATATTTAGATGCGTAGTCCACTATCGTGTATGCATTAGAGGCAAGCGGGGCATTGGCATCAAATGGGTGTTTGAGTCTAGGGACTGCATTGTTAAAGAAGGTTTTTACCACTGTCCCTTCTGTATGGTCCCATTTGATTCTCGCCTGGATCCTTCAAGCTTGCGTTTGGCGGTGGGTGTAATCTTGGAGATGGTCCCTCGCTTTTTGAAGCGCCTGGAAGGTAGGTTGGTTCAGGGGAGTTTCCATTAGTTGGGCATGAGTTTCTCTAGGAGGTTCTTCCGATCTCTCACGTGTTGGATAGAGTACTTCTTGGCGCGGTCTCTGAGTTGTGCTATGTCATCGTTGAACCATGAGACTTTGTCCCCTGATCAAGGTTTCTGCGACTGCCAGTAGTGCCAGAATGTATTGACCATGGCCTTGAAGGTGGAGAGGGGTAGTAGGGAGGTATTAAGTTTGTAGAATCCCGGGCCCCTCTTTATTCGGCAGTGGAAGGATAGCCCAAGAGTGATCAAAAGAGTCACAAGGGCTTATGGATGTGATGTCCGCGGCAGTGAGAAGGCCTGTAAGGTCTTCTGAAATTAGCATGAGATCAATCCGTGAATTGGCCACTCCGTTCTGACCTCTAGCTAACAAGCATGCGTACGCCTTTTGGGCTGGGTGCAGTAGTCTGTATGCATCTTCCGGCTGTCTATCCCCCCTGAACTGTTGAAGCATGATCGTGTCAATATGGGCCTGGGGCGGCGGCGGGGCTCCCGGGTTAGATTGCTATGATGGCGATCTGCGATCCATATCCGGGTTAAGAGTGGTATTAAAATCCCCTGCCATTATCATTGGCGCATCGTCGGGCAAGGTTTACTGGAGGGTGAGCCAGAGGTCCACCCTGCTGGCGGGGTCATTGGGGGTGTACATGCATACAAGGTAGAATTCTTCATCCTGGATCGCCGCCTTGAGGTACATCCACCTGCCTTGTTGTTTGTCATACTCAAAATGTGACTTGAACATTTCTGGATGAAGGCGGGAGCCATATTGCCACTCCCGCTGACGCCCGCTCCGTGGCTATAATGCCATATAGGGCCAGACCGCTCGTGCCTTGGCTGCATGTGGTGACGTATCTTGCAGGTGTGTCTCTTGTACACATACAGCATCAGGCCATTGGTCTGTGATCGGGCATTGATCATGTTCTTTATGGCATCTTTTTTTTGCTGTTGATGCCTGAATGAGGCCATTTACATTCAGTGAGCAGGTCTGATCGCGTCAGCCGTGCGGCCCATTGGGGATGTTTCCTGACCCGGGGGAAGACTGGGGGGGGAAGATGGTCGTTGTGGGGGAGGCGGAGGCGCCGGGGGGGGGGGGGGGGGGGGGGGGGGGGGGGGGGGGGGGGGGGGGGGGGGGGGGGGGGGGGGCCTAGCAAGGCAGGGTCTTGCTGGGGAGCGGGATGAGGGGGTTGGGAGTGTGGTCCGTTAACTGGTGGTTGCGGGTCAGGATGGTAGCCGGCAGAGCCAGCGAAGGGGGTGGATGCAGCTTGCTGTGTGTTGGTATCTTCCATTGGTTGGAGTTTAGAACTGAGGCGTCAGGCGGCCGTTCAGTCCTGATGCTTAACGGTTTACTGCTGCCCAGTGAATCAGGTGGAGGGCTGCCATGTCTACATTCAACTGTTCTTGCCAGCAGGAAACCACTATGTCCCGCAAAGCTACGCTGGGACAGAGCATCCTACTACAAGCGAAGCAACTTTTGCCGCCTCTTAGTGCTGCGCAAATGGCATGGCAAGTGCTGCTTACATGGCATGGCAAGCGCCTTAGTGTAAGCTGGCAGGAAAGTTGAAGATATAGCGCCTAGTCCCGTCAGCTGCCGAGACATTTTGTTATTGCCCTGTCGACAAGCCGGTTCGGTGATTGGCCAGTGCCAGCTGGCCGGATCCAAAGGCAGCTCAGCTAACGGGATCCTCCGGAAAATGGCTATCCACTGGCGATCGTGGTGCACAACACGGATTCTGTAAGTCTCGCCCTTTTCTGCCCACAGTACTGGGGCTGATTTTCGATAGTGTTCCGGGCATTACATTGGAATAGGTCAATGAAGGCCCCGACTTGTCTCGCGGTTACCATATTCCCTACAAAGGCCCGGTATGTTGCTGAGAGCAACCCAGTCAATTTCCACTAATTGGGGGCCTTTTCTAAGGATGCAGACCCAATCAAGCGGTAGGGAGTCAATGGGTATATCCAGGCTTTCTTCCAATTTGTGGCAGTATGTAAGGATTGCAGTCGGTGAAGCTGCCGTGCTGTTTTCCAATCATTCCATGTTCTATCCTGCAGGTCACCTACGCTAACGACCCTGTTTATGAGCCATCCTTTCAAGGGCAGGTCTGAGCTATGGCCGTGCTGGTCCGTGATCCAGCAGTTTCTGAACAGGGGTTGACGGCTGACCTCTTCCCACCTTGTCGGGGCATCTTTGTTGGGAAGGGGAAGGCTCCTCCATTTGTGGACAACGGTGGCTCAGAAATTATCTTCAGCCAGGTCCTGTCTTTGCAGCAGAGCTGGAGGGCTCCAGCCAGTCCTTCTGGTGACTACCCAGCGGCGGTCCGTCCTGACTTGCAGCGTCATGGGCGGAGCTGGAGGCCTCGCAGCGGCCAGCCCTTCTGGTGATTGCCCAGCAGTGGTCCTCAAGCCGCGTCATTGGGTAAACAGACAGTGGTGCGGGGGTGGCTAGATGGGCGATCTGCTCCCGGGCCAGCTCCCTCCAAGGGATCTGCGGTGAGAACAGGAACCGTTGGATCCATTGGAGCGAGAGCGCCTTCGTCTGCGTGGTTGGGTCAATAATTCTAAGTACCCCTTTCATTTTGGGTTGGACGACCGAGTCCCATGCCACCATGCTGATGACGTTTGAGAGTGATTTTGGAACGGTTGCCCTGAGCCTCGGAAACTTTTGGATTGGCTCGATTTCGATTCTCAAGTTAGATAGGCTACCAGAGTGGCCCGGGCCCCACTTGCCCGGCCGGGCCAAAAAAAAATTACAAAGAAAAAATATATCTTTCTCCATATCTGTCATAAGACTCATAACATAGTTTGTTTGTTTGTTTTCTGTTTGTTTTTCTTTTTGCTGGGTGATCCGTGCACGGCCGGGCTGCCCGGGAAAACAAGGTCACCCGGGCGGCCCGTCTGGTAGCCTAGCAAGTTAGTCATAAATATTCAATTGCTGTCTGTATGGTGTTTTCAAAAAGAATAGTTGAAAAAACAAACGACGAGCCTGGCTGAGTTAGTACGCCTATGAACTGTTGAAATACAGACTCGAGTTCGAATCCAGACCAGTCTGAATTGCCTGAGGCCGGTCAGCTTCAATGATGCTATCGCAAGGCCGTTACCCTTTTGGGAAAAAAAAAAAAAAAGGTTGAACAACAAAAACACAACTCTAAGCTAAGACATTGAGGGGTATGCCTGGGCAATGTACTTGTGGATCGATTTGGACAAAAGACCCCACAGCAGTTTCCATAACCAGTCGAGACAAGGCAGATTGACGGGAAGTGGCATTTCCTACTACAACACGGAACGGATTATGAACTCTCTACGGTCTTCCTCCCCCCGAATAAGAACGTACACGAACATTATAGGCTCACCTTTCAATCCAGATGCAGCAAAAATGACCATACGTTGTATTCGGGGGAAGAAGGTAGTATTACATACAAGCGTGTACACACGAACCACAAACTTAAGGAGAATGAACTCAAAATGCGTGTTGAACATATTTACATCTGAACAGAAAAACAGGAACAGAAAATGAAAATTTTGAATCAGAGTTGCAATGCAACAAGGACAAGACACGGCGTCGTCACAACTTCGTTGCCGGTCGCGAGTCGCCAAGCCCGCTCCCGCTGCCCACCAACTTCAGTGCCGAAGCATTCAGAGTGTCGCCATGCGCTGCAAAGCCCGTCCCGCCCTTCTGAACCTGCACTAGATGGCGCGACTTGCACGGAACGCTGCAGATGCAACACATCTTATCCGACACGACAAACTTCGACGTGCATCTGGAACACAGCACGTGGCCGCAAGTTTCGATCGCAACCAGCGTCGACGAATTCGTAAACACGGTCGCACAGGATGGGCAACGGAAACGGTCGCCTCCCAGCTCAATCGTCTTCGATTCCCGGTTTGGCACAACGTCGAACCGTAAAGCAAACAGATCCTTCAGTCTCAGCTTCTCCTTTCCCTCTGGACAGACGGTGTGGTCGACCGGTTTTTCAACCCTTTGGGGGGCTTCGGGAGTCGCGGACGGAAGCCAGAAAGCCTTCATCGTACGCAATGCCTCCTCTTCGTACGCCGTGACCTTCACGCTATTCGCTCCGTGAAACCGAGACGGGGTGTCCTGCTCGTGCTGGCTCTGCTGCACCTTTCCGGCACCGCCGGGGACGGCCCTGTTGTTCTGCCGATCGAACTGTTCCAGCACCCGTGCCCGCTCGGACGCCTCCCTCTCCGCCTGCAACTCCTTGTCCTTCAATGTCTGCGCCTGGTACAGCGCTTGCTTCCTCTTGATATCTTTCTTCTGCGCCAACAAGCATTCATAAATGCACTCCTTGCAGAAAATGTGGCCTGCTTGACAACACAGAGGCTCTATAACTGCCTTGAGACATAGACAGCAGGCGTCGAACGCCTTCAACGAGTCCTTTCCCAGTCTCTCCTTCTGCGTTCCATAGCCAAGTTTTCGCCTCTCATCGTACGTGAAAAAGGCAAGGTCGTTGTTGTTCTTCGAGTGCCGCTGCGGCATCCTGTGACCTGTTCCTAGCTCACCAGAACAGCACAGAACCAACTGCAAACAGCACTCCACTACTACACTCTCCCTCCCCGCCCCTCCCCCCTTGCACACAACTTCTTTAAGCCTTTTTTTCCCCCACAATAGACTCCTTTTTGTCCGTTCCTTCGTTCGCGTTCGTCAAGTCTATAACGCCTGTGTTGCCTCCGGTGACAGCTTCCTCCTTGATACTCCGTCTGTTCTCGAAGTCCCTCCCGAAGTGATTTCGCTTTACGTCCAAAAAAAGAAGGGTAGTGCCCACTTCTGTTAAAATACAGAGCAACGTTCGAATCCAGACACAGTCAGTTATTCTGTCTGTCTGTTCTCAAACAGAAGGGTCTATATATATATATCGTCAAATAGAACTGCCCGGTAAACCGTAGGCAGAGAGGGAGAAGAGGACAACAAACGAGGGGCTGTGACAAACTGTTTCGTCGGAGATATATATATAAATCTATATAAAAAAAAAAAAACAGAAGGGCCTTATTCATGAACTGTTGAAATGCAGACCCAGGTTCTAATCCAGATGAGGTCATATTATTAACAAAATAACACACTTCCTAGGCTACCAGCCGGCCGGCCCGCCCGGGTCACCTTGTTTGCCCCTGGGCTGCCCGGCCGCGCAAGGACAGTAGAAGGTCCCAGCAAAACAAAAACAAAAAAATCCAAAAATTCTGAAAAAAAAAAAAGAAAGTATATTATGCAGAAAAATCAACTGAACAACTTTTGCCTCAGGCAACCATCGAAATGCTTTACCAATTTAAAATAAAACTTGAAAAAAGAAAACATTTCTTTTTTATTATTATTATTTTTTTCAAGATTTTTTTGGCCCGGCCGGGCAAGTGGTCCCGGCCCACTCCGGTAGCCTGGCACACTTCTGAATTAGGCCCGGTCAGTTCGATGATGATGTCTCACACCGTCGCCCGTTTTCGGGGGGGGGGGGGGGAAAAA